TGAGCATGAGACACATGTAGGGTTTGACTAGCTAGACTGGTAAGAGAATGACAACAAGGATCTGGCAAATAAAGAAAACTGGGCTGAAGTTTTGCAAACTAAGAAACCAATTATTTAGTAACCAAAAAATAATAAAGTAAAAAAAAAAAAAAGAGAAAAGAATGATAGGTTAATGAAATTCAAAATAAGCAAACCATGTGACTAAATCCATAGAAGTAATTTCAAAATTAATATTTTCAAAACTTGCACATAATGCAAGTACATGTTGCACAATTTAATTATGCTATATCAACTCATTAATCAAATAAGCCACACAAAGAAGATCCAAAAATATTTTTCAACACAGGTTTAGTCCTTGCAAGGGGTACAGCATTAAAAACAGGCATACAAGATGGTACATGTCGCTCCGTTCCAAGATCTGACCACGGACAACGAGTTAAGGAAAACTTTAATACCTGTTATCAGAGACGTAGTCAAGACACGACCTCTGCTTCACAGATCACCGTTGTTGAAGGCATCAGAGTTTGTCAGTTATCAGAAGGCTCTTGACTTCACATACATGGTTCTATATTAATTTAACATTAAGTGAAAACATCCATGACCTTTACTCCCTCAAATGTAAAATCCAATGAACCACAGCAATTATTACCTTTTGTGTAAAAAATTGGCATATAATAATTGTCGACTGTTGTGAAAAAACAATATTAAAGGTGGACCATGTTGTAACTGCATCTGTATATATACAGGTATGTGTGTGTGTGTGTGTTTGTCTGTCTGTTAGCAAAATATCTCATGAATCAGTGTAGATATGTTAAAAAAAATTATAAAAAATGATTCAATGCTCGTACATACATGGATGTACATATGCATCTGCAACTTTTTACATAAACCGTTTAAGATGCTAAGTGACCCTAGTAAACACAATAATGCATGTAACAGTTAGTATTACAGATACTAAACCAGAACTTCATGTGGTAGTAGTTTAGGGTGTATTCACACTAGCCCTGTTTAGTCCACTTTAATCAAACTCTAGCTTGTTTTCCTTGAAAGTCCGGCTCGTTTAGGGAGGTGTGAACGCACCATCGAACTCTGTCACGGAACAAAAAGGCGAACTCTGGCCGGGGCTAAAACCTAGGTCTCGGTCCAGTAGAAGAGAACTCCAGCGCGGTTCAAGTACAGTGTGAATGTAAACAGACCGAGCCCCGCTCCACAGGACAAACAAACATGCATTTCTCTGACCTTATATGGAGCCGTCAGCTGCCTTGTGTGAAAAACAATATTCTCCATGGTCTTCTGTCTCATCTTCTGCTCATGCTAAGTCCATTTTTGAAAAACGACAAAATATAACTCCTAAAACTTGATGCCACTTCATTTTTATTTTTATTTACAGAAGAAGAAGACGTGTTTTCAGAGGTTTTTGTGTCGTTTCTTTCAGTAGTTTTTGGTGCAGCGCCCCCACAGGCGAGCGGGGGAACAGGTTGGTTCAACAGGTTGACTCGACTGCACAGTGCAGTGTGAATGCAAACGCACCAGCTCAAATGTAAACAAAAGCTCATGAATATTGGTCCCGAACCGAGTCTACCGGACTATCTAGTGTGAAAACGACCTCAGACTGATCCCAACACATACTTTAAGAGTTAACAAACTAAGAAATATTTTTTGTTTAAAACCATGACATTTAAAGTGGCAAACAACTTGCATTTCTTCAAGGAATGCAAGTTTCAAGAATATAAATAAATCTCATCTGTTTGAATGCAAATGGTCACATATCAACCACTGCCATCAAGTAATTTAATCTTATTTACAAATGGTAGTCAACAAGCTAAACAGCAAGCTAAAAGTTTTCGGTATCTTTATAAATTAGCGTGATTTGTCTTGGTCATTTTTTTTTTCTTTTTCAAGCAGTAATCAAAATGCACACACAGGTGTTTTACAAATCCAGTGTCACAATATGCCAACAGTTAAAAAAAGCTACAATGAAAATGCAACAATGTTTGCTTGCTTTTTCTACATTAAAGAACAGATCATTCCATGACGCTTATACACAAACACAGACAAACAGTCCCTTTGTTGTGCAGACTTCTCTCTTTGCTTAGAAAGTTGTGTTTCTTTCTCACTGAGCACAGGAAGGACGCACTCACCATGTAACAAGCTTGGAGGTCTTCAGACCACACACAGAGTGGTGCAGTGATCTTTCCCTGTTTGAGTCTCGTTCTTTTCCTCCCTTCTTTCATTCTATCAGTATATCTCAACGTTATATGCTCACTCAGTTAGCATCACTCCTCAGTTTTCTCACTCTTCCCAAATTTCAGCTTCGTTAGAAAACCCAGTTTGCCTGAAGCAGACCAAAAGTTGCTTCCCCTCCATTTTTTTATCTCCATATCAACTCTGCACGCTCTATTCTCCTGTTTGTTTGAAAATGCTGAGGTAAACCGAACAGAGGCGAGTCTCTCAGTGTGATATTTGTGCCTTTGAGACCACCCAGCCAGCAAGAATAAACACTACAACTTTAGGCTTTATTTTTCAACGCTGCTGCTGTTCCCAGAGCCTAAAAGATGAAAGATGAATCCATCACTGTCATCCAGTGTGTGTGTTTATGACAGATCAGTTTTGAAACAGCCAGGTGGAAGTCTGGCTGTACAAACAAACTGTGACTTAAGCTGAGAGAAAGAAGGATTTTTGGGTGAGAAGGGTAAGTCGAGGTAAAGAAAACAATGTAAATCTATGACAATAACTGCAGCTCAGTGAATCCAAACAGGGACAGATATTCTACAGAAAAAATACAAATAAAGGGACATTTATTTTGAAATAAAATATAAATTGTGAGAAGAAAAGGATACGTAAAATGATGCATGTTGATAGTACTGATAGCTGATTTTATAAAAGCTTTTCATTTTATGTCTGAAAATCTTTAGACAAATCCTCAGCATTTCAGCACAGTGTGTTTTTAAAATATCTGAAGAAAGTGAATATTTGGAGGATGAAAAAAAAAGAGAAATAAAAATTTTTTATAAAACACTGGTAGGAGACTTGAAAATAATCCTTTAGTAGATAGTCTAATATTTTTGGTCCATTGTTTTTTTTTTTATTATTATTTTGTTTATGCAAAAACATTATTTTCAAACTGTGTTTTGTTCATTTCCACCAGATAAATGGAAACATGTTGTATCAATTTAACTGGCTGCTGTCAAACAACCCTAAGATTAACCCTAAATTAATTTTAGCAACATTTAATGATCTCCAACAGCGTTCAGTCAGGTCATCTAGACAGTTTCTTGCTTTTCTTTATTTTTTTTGGGAGATGTTTCATCCAAAGGACTTCTTCAGTCCGAGGAGCCACAAACAATCTCAGTCCCACAAGCAGCACATTTCCATAAGGGGTCAGCCAGTTTGCTGGTGATAAGATGGTTTCTGGGGCCCGCTCTCTCCCCCGTCGACTCCTCTGAGGCAGCAAAAGAAACCATCTTATCACCAGCAAACTGGTCGGTCCATTATGGGCGTGTGCTGATTGTGGGACTCAGTTTGTTTGTGGCTCCTCAGACTGATGAGGTCCTTTGAATGAAGGATGAAACGTCTCCACACAAAAAAAAGAAACATCCAGATGACCTGACTGAACAATGTTGAATTTTTTTAACCTGGATTATTTAGCACAAACTTTGATATTTTATGATCAGTTTTTAATTGTTATGTGAACAGATCAGCAATGACTTCTCTTCAGTTAAATTACTTTTTATGTTTAAACAAAATATAGATAAGTGTTAAAGTAACTTAACAAATTAAAAAATATTGCTTTTCAAAGATCAATGTACAAGCACCAGACTAAAAATTAGTCAAAGCATCAAAGAGGTATTAATAAACCCCATAAGATTGCTGCGTCAGACACTTAAACATCGAAGAAAAGGAAGGAAATGATGGTTCAGATTGTTGCACATTACTGTATATTTACAGCAACAACATGTTACTTGATTCTAAAACACATCAAAATGTCCAGATGTTTTTTATGTGAGCAGAAAAAAGTTTAATAAGACTTGATGGAGGAAGTAGAAAAGCGCAAGCGGCCTTGACCTGGTCAGTCTGACATGGCAGCTGAAACTGAGGATGAGGAGGCCTCAGCATCGCGTTGGGTGGCACGATGTAGGAGTTTAGGATTTATGTTATGTCTCCAGACCACACACAGACCAAATGAAGGGTGTGGAGATGACACAAGGGATGAGATATAGAGAAGTAGCATATTAAAGTAGCAGATGAGGAATACAGTTTTAAAAATTAAAGATATTTACGTTTTAAAGTTAAATACAATTTGCTGTAAAATAATGACTAAGTAAACACATTATCTTCTATAAAGCATAATAAACTTGATCAATGTGTATCCAAACCATACAGTCTAGATTCCAAAATGGCAGCACTTTTATTGCCTCATGTCAGGCAGACAAGAAAACTCATCTTGTGTTTTGTTTGGAAGTTTCTCCAAATCTTCTCATCAGAAAGTTCAGCCACACTGGACGACTTTTTAGGCTTAAAATAAGGATTCTGACAAAGTTACTCCACTCACACATTCCCAAAAGCATCATCTGAGTATTCTGACCACTGCATGCTTCAAATCATTGCATTGCAGAGATGAAATCATTCCCCTTACTATCCAACCATAGTCCTAAAAGAGTTTTACAATACAACCCGAATTTAACCATCCGTAAAGCACATCACTACATCTCTACAAAGCTATTCTGAATAAATTATTCTATAGAGCCTAATCAGTGGTTTAGATCACATTCATACACTGATGGGACACACATCGGAGGCAATGAGGGGTTCAGTGTCTTGACATGTGACTGTAGCTATTGCCGCCCTGAAGACATCCCCACAGTGCATTTCTGCCATTGCCTTGTCTAACTGTAGTAATGGAATTAAAGAGAACATGTTCAGTGTCTGAATTATTGGAAACTGTGGCCAAATCTTTGTTCTTTCAAATAAGATTTAGCTTTTTATAGTCTAAGATTCATTTAGCTGTCTTTTGGCTATATCAAAAATTTAAGTCAGGATTAGTTTCTGTCTGAAGAGTTTGCCATAAAGGCCTGAAAAACGACTTTTGATGGCTCTCCCTGTGTACAATTCTTCCATCTGAGTAAAACGCTAAATCCAAATCTTGACAAATTCTTGCCTTATTAGCCTTTTGTACTTTAATATACACTATCATCTCTGATTGGACAGGTATGTATCCTAATTATTATTTTAATTTTATCCGGTACAGGTGAACGTCTCAAGGATCACTAAAACAACAGGATATACCTCAGCTCAGTAGTGTCAAATAAAAAGGTCTGAGTAAATCAATTGTCTTGGTCAAATTTTTAATGAATTAGCAAACTAAAGGTTTGCTTAATTTTAAGATTGCGAGCTGACTGTCAAAAGAAACAAAATTAACTAAATTTATGTTTGTTTTTAACAGCTGTCTCTAAGGTGACTGACAATATTATCTACATACCCATTTAAGAAACAATGGCAAATTTAAAAAAAGGTTCACAATGGTGTAAGAAACAAAACCCATACTAAGATAGGCCATCCAATGAGAAAATGAACTGTTGTATTTTAGTTATCCAGTTAGACAGATCTAGCCAAATGCTGCAGTAGCACTGATAGATTTAGACAGGCACGATCAATCTGTAGGAAGGGAACAGCATCAACTGACATACAAATTTGCCAACAGCTACAGATCCTTTAAATCCTTCAAGGTGGAGCTTATGAGCCCTGTAGGGCCTCTGTAGGTGATTTACTGTAAGGTTTTCCTGCAGTAACTTGTATATTAGGAGGAGTGCAGTGTAGCTGTGAAACAGAAAGCTATGTGGGGGTTAAATGGTCCGTGAGCATAGATTGGCCTGGTCTGGCTGGCCCCTCCGGACCTTGAATAGTGAATGAGTCTGCGCTACATGCATGAATGCATGGCCTAGCTCTCAGCAGTGCTTCTCCTATGGATAACATCCCATAAAACCCTTAGACAAACATGCAAACACATTCACATACAAGTTTCACACACAGTATTTAAAATAACACCATATGAAAGTCTTAATCTGAGCTTTAAACTTTAGGATTGTCTCCCAACTTAAAAATAGTGACGAACATACTGCCAATTAGAACAAAAGCAAGTTTGTTTTTTTCTCTTCCAAATTTCATACCTTGTCATCAAACTACTACAGATACCACGTTGTACCCCCTCATCCTAACACAGGATTGGCAAGTGGAGGGGAATATAATTGCATGCTTAAATGCCTGAGAAATGGACATCCAGTTCTGCTGAGCTGGTGCTTTATGTGTGGCCTCATTGTTGAGGCGTGCAGTCATGCAGTTCTTTGAGTTCCACTCAGTGTTCGTGTTGGGTTAGAGGTGGTTGAGAAGAGCAGAAGCGGCGGGAAACCTTTGTCTATTGGCCAGATATTTTATTGTAAGATAAAACTCTTTGTGTTTGCCCACCATGCCTGGCAGAAGAACTGTGATTAATGTCAGAGTGGAATAAATCCACAAAAATCAGAGTATCATCCTTTTTCCCTGTTCTGGGTAGTACTTTAACAGTCTTGTTGACAGCCAGATAATCAGCTGTTTTAAAGGACATGGGGTGTCTTTGATAGCAAGATACACAAATCCAACTATGCACACATTGTATACTTGTGCACAAACATGCACAGATGCCTCTGTCAGTTATACTTTCTGGTTGATGAGCTTAATGTGGCCAAAGTGGACAAACAAAAGGCTCCTCTATGGGACTGCAGAGTAATGAGAGGCAGTTTGATTGTAAATCCATCGCCTCGCGGAGTTTTCCATTTCACTGCAGGACAAAAGGGACAAACCATCAAATTCAGGTCATCCGAGGCTTTTACGCATGTTGTTGAGCTCTGTGATGTTTAAGAGCTCAATCATCAGTACTTTGGAAGCAGAGAGCATAATAAGAGCTGCTTGGACGAAACTCAATGTTTACGACTTTATTAAAAAGAATAGCAGCTCTTTTGTGCCAGATACATGTTTACATCCTATTATTCATGTATGAAACTGGGGGAGTGGTGGCGCAGAGGTTAGAGAAGGAGGGCCTGTGATCTGAAGGTCGCCGGTTCGACTCCCTGGACCAACAACATCAAAATGTAAAGGTGAAATACCACTTGTCTACACCCTCATTTACCCCACTCTGAGCCCTTGAGCAAGGCCCTTAACCCCCACCATTTGCACCCCCCTGCACCGTAGATGGCAGCTCTCTGCTCCACACACAGGGCTGTGGTAGCTCGGTGGATTGTATCAGGAACCCCCCAAAATGGCCAAGTCTTCGTGCGAGTCAATTCACTGTGGCGATCCCTGAAGAAGGGAGCAGTTAAATTAATAAATACATAAATAATTATTCATGTATGAAACTGGTGTAGTCACTTTTGACTAAAGTGAGGATCCTTTTGTCACCAAGCAGGGTCGTCATCTTCACCATGCTGCTGAATGGAGATGACCCAGTGATGGAGGAATAATAAAAACTCTTCCTTGAGACGCCGTTCATGTAAGAACTGTATCAAACTATTAAAAAATATATTTAGTTTGACCAAGTTATGATGTATCATCTTTTTAGATAAAAGATGAGGAATAGAATGATTAGCCAAGATATTTGTTTTTGTTATTTATTAAAAGTTACATGACATATGTTAATTTAAACATGTTTTTTTTACAGCTGGGCCACCTGTTCTGGGTTTATTTGGACTTTGAAGACAAAATGCGCACAATGAGTAATTTAGGGATATTAGGTAAATCTATGGACTAGAGAGAAAACTAAGACGACTAAAGAATAGCATGACTAATCCAGTTTATTTTCCATCTGTACAAACAACGCTCGTGATGCTGTAAGTATCAGCTTTGGCAGGCTTGTCATTGCTTTTGGCTCACTGTGGAACATAAGAACCCTTTAGAAGAGAGTTGGGAAAGACTCATTCGGGTTTTCTTCCCTCAGCTATTGATGTTGACCAACAACTATTTAAATAAGTCTTTAATACAGTTTAAACTGGCTGAGATTAAAAATGTAGTCACAGGTTAGTTTTGTTTAGAGAAATTTGTCACAAGTCAAGACAGAAGTATTTCAGGAAGAAAATGCAGGTTTCTGAGCAAATCATAAAACACAAGTATAACACCATGAAAAGGAAACTAATAAATAATGGGGGAAGACACTCGCCCTAAGCTCTATTTTCTGTGTTTAGATGACTGTATGACAAACTTTAATTGTATGCATTAACAATAGTTTTGCCTAATGTGTGTTGTGCAGATAAGAGTAGCATGCTTCATAGATCATGAATTTATTCTTCCTGTATTTTGAGCCTTTTTTTAAAACAACATTTAGTTTCAAATTATGCATAGACAAGATTATAAAACACAGTACTGCAGAATTATCATAAATGACTAGTTAACCTAAAGGTTAGCCAAGTAGCTTGACTAGTAACAATCTTTTGTTACAGTCATAAACGCTGAGTCTCAGTTTTCTTCAAGTGTGTAGAGGCAACATTTTCAGGGCTAATTTCAAGTTTTTGAGACCTGTTACTCTTTTGTGATGTTGGTGGTGTACTACAGAACGATAATTCAGGTAAGACTGCACTGCATATTAATGAATACATACACAGTGTTAGGAAAAATGTCAGATTGTAGTCTGAGACTTTCCATTAGTTCCTCAGCAAGTTGATATTATATACATAAATATGGGGGAATTTTACCGACATAATACGAGAGCATACATTTTGTGTTTGAAAACAGGAATTCATCTCTTTGTTGTCAAAACTTGTAATATTTGGACTCAAAACTTCTGCTCTCTCTCAAATATTCTCTGTTCTTCATGCTTTCAGAATCAGAATCAGAATCAGAATGCCTTTATTGTCATTATACGCAGTATAATGAAATTAAGAGCCACTCCTTTTTCCAGTGCAAAAACACGCCTTAAGAAAACACACATTAAACACACTAAAAATATAAAAAATGTAACGCAATATAGATATAATAATGAAAGTAAAAAAATACAAGTATTACACAATTGTATTGCACATTATGGATATTAGTGAGGTAGTTAATGTGACTGAGAGTATGGAATGTCAGTAGTATTGCACAGTAGAAGTCCAGGGGTTTGGGAGGTTATATTATTAAATCAGTGCATGTGTGAGTTCAGTGTGGTGATGGCTTTCGGGAAAAAACTGTTCTTGAATATGTTTGTTCTTGTTCTGATGCACCTGTAGCGTTTCCCTGAAGGTAACAAGTCAAACAGTTCAAAACTCGGGTGTGAACAGTCCATGATTATGTTTTCTGCTCTGTTGAGGCAGCGTGATGTGTAAATGTCCATCAGGGAGGGGAGAGGGCAGCCAGTTATCTTTTGTGCTGTCTTGACTACTCTCTGAAGCCTCTCCCTGTCAGCCAGGTTTCAAACACAAAATGAAAATGTATGCTCTCGTATTATGTCAGTAAAATTCCCCCATACATAAATACATGAGGAAATATTCAAGTGAGGAGAATCCATAGAAAAGTGTATGTTGATTAATATATGAAATATTAATAACTGAGACACTAATTTCCAGAAAGCTATTGTTTGTATAAAACATAATTAAAAGACAAGTCCATACCTTTTACACATATCAAACATAATTAAAGTATTGAATATCTATAAACCTATTACACAACATAATTTAAAGGTTTATGACTCAGCCTATTACACATATGTACATAATTTTATTGATGCTCATACGCTTTCCTTTGATATATTAACTTACATTAATAATGAAAATAACAAAAAGAAAAATATTGATAGAGCAAGACAAGGCTGAACGTCTCATCGAATAAGTTTTTTTTGCAAACTAAAAGGACAAAAAAAAATGTTTATTTATTTATTTATTTATTTTCCTATTTCTGTTTTTCCACAACCAAACATATGCTATAAAACATAGAAAACATATTATTTCATCTGCTCCCTTCTTCCGGGGTAGTCACAGCTAGTCGACTTGTGTGAAAAATTTGGTAATTGTTTTACACTGGATGACCTTTTCTGATGCAACTTAAGTTTGAACCTGCAGCCTGAGGAAAAAAAAAAAAACAACCACACGCCCTGTATAAAATATATATTTAAAATAATTTATTTCCCTACAACACAGTTTGGTGTTTTTTTTTTCTTTCTACATTTTTAACATTTTTGTGCCTATTAAGACAAAACATATATTCTACACATTTTTTTAAAATTCTATAATTATGATATATTTAAAGTTTGAAATAAATATACAATTTGATTTGGAACTTTGACATATATGCAATGCAGAAAAAAAGATTTGAAGTCAAATACTGTCTGTGAATCACTTATTACTTTCACACAACAAACAAAGCAACTCCTAGAACTGACAACACTTTATTTTAGAATTACAAAAGCAAAACTGTCATGGCTCACAAGACAGTCCTTTAAACAAATCAATAAGTCATTTTCTAAAATGTCTGAAAACATTTTATCTGCGATCAGAGATTTACTTATCCCAAATCTCTCTGCTTCAGTGAAAGTGTATTATTGTGAAGGAAGTTTTGTGGTTCAGTGAAAAACAAAATAACAGTCTGTGAGGGCTCTAGCATGATATGTAAACCATTTGACATCAGTGTTTGGGCTTTCTTTATGAGAACATCTGCAGCAGCTGCTCAATAAAATCCCCAGGTTGAGAAAGAAAGAACAAAAAGTACAATTTTTTTGTAGGTCGGTGTACCATGGAAGCAGACCTAGCTGTGTATCATCTGTAAGGTTTATGGAAAGCGAAATCAAGGATGGAGAATGGAGATGTTGCAGTTTTGTGTTTAGATATGTGCTTTATCTAGTAACAAGATCAAAGTGAACTTACTGAACATGATTACATCAACCATAGTGAGACTTCCTCAACTGACTCTAATATATATGTCCGGCCATATTTAAGTGTGTCAGTCTTTGTGGATGTTAACCAAAACTGCCTGACCTAAATATACCTTCATTCAGAGCTCTGGCAGCTTTGGCACATAACAGTTTTACACATACTTTATACACTTCTTTTTTAAAATTGCATAAAGTGTCTCTATAATTAGACTAGCTTGTTTATAACTTTATAAATGGTAAATGGCAAATGCACTGTATATAGTGCCATTCTATCTTATCAAGACACTCAAAGCGCTTTACACTACAATCTGTGTCCTCATTTACCCATTCATACAGCACTCTACTAGATCTCTACAAAGCTAATTGAACAAATCATTCTAAAGAGACTAATCAGTTCTTTTAGATCACATTCATACACCGATGGGACACACTTTGGCAAGTGACTGCTGGTGGATTCGAACCCCCAACTTTTGCATTGGAGGACAACTGCTCTAACCACTCAGCCACAGCCGCCCCTCATAACTAATTATAACTTAAAAAAGAAATATTTTCAGAAGGCAGATTATACTTGCTACTTCTATTCTTCCAGGTAAAACAATAAGCTGAAAAAGTTTACATCGCCCCCACCACACACACACACACACATTGTATGTATATATATATATATTCATACTTAAATTGACATGTTAAATAACGTTCTGCATTTTGCCAATAAATTATTTAATCCTCAATCGTTTTAGTGATTTTAAAAACTAAAAGTAAAGTAGGTATAATTAACCCATAAAAGGCAACTAAAAGTATTTACTCTTGTGGTCAATTGAAGTAAAGAAACTTTAATCAGTTTTTTTTTTTCAAACTGATATACTGTCATCATTTTCTTGTTTTTTATTCTGGCGAATATCTTCTACATTTAAAAATAATGATAATAATAATAAAAATAACAACAACAACAACAACAATAATAATAATAATAATAATGATGATGATGATGATGTTAATAATAATAATAATAATAATAATAATAATAATAATAATAATAAAAGATACAATATAACTTTATTGATCCTGTAGGGAATTGTCCTGCCAGAGTTTCAATACAAAGGAACATAAACAAGGAATCACACAATATTTTTTTAAAAAGAGAATAAAAAACAAACAAAATAATTAAAAAATAACTGATAATATAAAACTAACAGAGAATATAAAAATACCAACCAAAACTAATAATAATGGACTTAAAACTATTGTAAGTTATTTGAGTAATTGATAAGTCAACTTATTTGATAAAAGAGCCAGTAGAAACCAATAAACCTAAAGTACACGTTTGAAATTGTATTAATACGAAATGCACATTAATAAGACTAATTAAAGACGTGATCAAAATCTATTTTCGGAATTCATCAGTTTTATTGATAAGAAAATACTGACATTAATAATCTGTTTTTTTGTTTTTGTGCGTGCGTGTGTGTGTATTTTATTCAGGCAGTTTGCTTTTCTTCTCAACGCAGAACGTTTTAGAAAGAGAGGAGCACTTTCATTACACCATCTCAACAGAGCTTTTTGAAAAAGAAAAAAAAATCGCAACAATTATGCTATTTACACTTATGAGAAAATATATATTTTTACATGTTTACTTTTAGTTTGGACATAAAACAACAAAAAAAAATTAATTTAACGAAATTAAATTTGTCGAAAGTGCCTCAACGTTTAGTAAAATACGTAAACAAAAAAAAAAGCTGTTGCGAAGTTTGTCTTACTCTTCCTGCTTGCGCATTTTTTTTAATAGATAAATCAGAATAATTTCAAGACAACTATGAGCGACTGACTCACGATATTATGACGTGTAAAAATAGATATTTTGTATCAGTTTCAGTGCAGCGCTTTAATATGTGTGTTAATTAAGCTAAACCAGCCAAGCTACATGCTACAGCAGGGACCTGTGAGCAGTGCTACTCAGGTATCCTGATGACTTCAGCTTCTGATAAAGGTTTGAAAAGCACATTTATTCTGATTATCTGTCATTGATTTACTTTTATGAACTTTACGGTAAAACCTGTAGCTAACCGAATTACCGGTAGCTTATTTAATTCGATGTGCTAACAGAGAAAAAAGATAATTTGGAAGCATATATTAACATATTACACTGTGATCTAGCAATGTGAAATTTGCTTGGTACATATGTAAGCTATAATATAGATTAATTCATGCATTTTTACAGCAAAATGGTGTGAAGGTGATCAGGCTCCAAAATCCAGAGATGGCATCATGGGAGAAGCCACTATCCAAAGAATGACCTCCACCACTCATAATAAAGATCCAATCCGTGTAAATTTAGAGGAGGAACAAGATGAGGAAGCCATACCTGTTCAAAAACTTACGAGACCAGGATTGAACCAATATACCCAGGAGAAACCTTTGTTTCCTGGCATCACCACTGACCTCAGTCTCTGCATCCCTTTAGAGCTGAGTGATGAAGACGGAGTCCCTTATACCATCAACAGATACTTAAGGGATTACCAGAGGGAAGGTATCAGGTTCATTTACAATAACTACATCCACTCCACTGGTTGTATTCTGGGAGATGACATGGGTCTTGGAAAAACTGTACAGGTACAAGACATAAATTTCAAAATATGTTGTTTTGTTAAAGTAAAGATTTGTTTTTTTATGTGGTATCACATGTCTCTCTTGTTTTTGATCTCTATCGTAGATCATAGGTTTTCTTGCTGCTGTGCTGCACAAAACAGGCACATGGGAGGACGTAGAGAACAACCGACCTCAGTTTCTGCAGTCTCAGATATCCTCCAAGCAAAGTAATCCAAGCAAAGTGGGTGTTGAAATAGACTACTAAATTAGACTTTTCTACACATATTTGCTGGATTTGCTCGTGTGCTGTAGGTCAGAATATTACTTTGTCATCAACTGAATTGACGTGTTTTTTTATGATCTGGTCTAGGTGTTTCTTATCGTGGCTCCACTGTCAGTGCTCTATAACTGGAAAGATGAACTGGACACATGGGGTTACTTCCAGTGTGTGGTGGTCCACGGGCTGAGGAAAGAGGAGGAGCTGGCTCGTATCAAGAATGGTCGCACTGAGATTGCTCTCACCACTTACGAGACTCTTCGGCTCTGTCTGGATCAGTTTAACAAGTATTAATTACAGAACCCAAATGCAACACACCTTACTATTAAAAAGAGCGAAGCAACAATAAGCAACCAAGAAATGAAAAAAAAAGCAACACCTGTAAAACTTTATTTTTAACTAAATTGAAGAATTGTTTGATTTGTCTTTTGGTTGCGGGTTGACTAACATCCATAGAAATTTAAGCTTTACTGAATTGAGCAATGTTCAGTCAGGTCATTTGGACGTTTTTTGTTTTTTCTGAGACATTTCGTTTTTCATCGAAAGGACTTCTTCAATTTGAGGAGCCACCAAACAAAACTGATTCCCACAACAACAATGAACTCCATAATGGAAAAAAACAACAACAATTTGTTGGTGCTAAGATGGCCTCTGGGGCCCGCCCTCTCCCCCGCCAACTCCTCTGAGACAGTCATGTCAAAGTTCATGCTCAATAATCCAGGTATAAAATCCAACATTGTCCAGTCAGGTCATCTGGACGTTTTTTTTTTTTCTTCCCACTTTGGAGTATGCTGTTTGTGGGCCTCAGTTTTGTTTGGTGGCTCCTCAGATTGAAGAAGTCCTTTGGATGAAGGACGAAACATCTCAGCAAAAAAAGAAACCGTCCAGATGACCTGACTGAACATTGTTGGATTTTATACCTGGACTATTGAGCGTGAACTTTGGTGTTTCCTGAATTGAATTATATTCCAGTAGAACATAAAAGACTAAAGTTTATCCTGTCAGATTTTTGCAGCTTCACTTGTAAAAACAGAGTAAGGTAACCTGAAACTGACATTTGGATATATGTCTCACAAGTGACAAATTACAGGTTTTTCATATAACATACCAAGCTTTACGATCCCATATTTTTTTCAAATCAAGTCCAGTATTTTCCCTGCTTAGCTTAGTTTTTAAGTCTTGGGGTCTCCAGAAATGTTTTTCTTGGTCTTTTGTGCTGTTGGAGGATTATCCATCCTCAGCATTTAAGTATTTCTTAGTGTTTTGCTGGCATTTAAAATGAAAGAGGCACAATGTTCACAAAATCTAAAGTCGTGGTCAAGCTTTCCCACAATGAAAGTGTGTGGAATGAATTTGGAGCCAAGAGGGAGGCACTAAAGCAAAGTTCGCTCAAATATTCTTGCTCAATTTTATGTCTTAATTAAAAATGGTTAAACTGCCCATCTATTTGTGATGTGTAAAATCTCAAATATCTTTGCAGATTAGACTGGTCAGCGATCGTTGTTGATGAGGCTCACAAGATAAAAAATCCAAACTCTCAGATCACTCAGGCCATGAAGGAGATGAGATGTAAGGTGAGAGTTCATGTGTTTGTGTTGCTGTTTCAGAGAAATCATACAAGTATTTAATTAGTAATGATTTTATCTGTGGATAATAACTTGTGGTGAAAATTACTAATATTAGAAATGGTAAACAGCATCTTTATGGCAAAGATATTTGATCAAATTTCTAATGTTGGAAAAAGTTTAGATAAAAACGGATTATAATTAATTTAGCATTTTAATTTAAGTTGTTGGTCTTTCTGTTTCTGTTAGATCCGAATTGGTCTCACTGGTACCATCTTGCAGAACAACCTTGAAGAGCTGTGGTGTGTCATGGATTGGTGAGTCTACAAGATTTTATTTATTATTTTTTCTTCCAAAATTAGAGTATAGAGTACTGAGCCGAAGACTTATGCCACCTCTTATATTTTTGTATTTTGCTTAGAAAATGTCAAATTTTCTTACAATATTCCAATAAAACAGTTCTTCATGCTTCATAAAGGTTTTTACTGGGTGGGGTGGGAATTGGTTGTTTTTTCATTTTGCTGTTAGCTCATAACTTGCCATAAAGTGTTCCCTTAAACATTTTTAAGGATGTTGGTGAAGAGGAAGGCTGTGGTGTAGTGGTAAACACTATGCCTCGCTGGAAGGTCTTCAATTTATAGGACAAAAGAACAAGTGTCAAGTGTTTTAAAAAAAGAAATAAGGCCATAAACGTTAAACAATATCTGAAAATAATGTTCTTAAAAATATGGAGAAAAAAAACTAACAAAAGCCTGATGGGAGACCTGAGCAATGTATCTGTCCCTTAAATTGATTCATCTTCTTAAAGGTAGGTTACTTTTTAATGCTTGATTGGTTATTTTGTTGGTGTTAGGTGTTAAGTAGCATAAACAAACTCATTCAGATGAAGATGGTCAGATGCAAGAGCAGAGCTAAAAATAAAAGTTCCTTTAAAAAAGTTAGATATTCAGAATTTTTTAAGAGCTATCGCCCAAGATTACTTTGAAAAATATGTTGATTTTGCTCCTTAAAAGTGAACAAAAAATGAGCTGTGGAAATAAATGTTTTCTGTTGTTTCTTATATAAAGAATTATATTTCTTTTTAGGGCCGTACCAGCTTGCCTTGGGAGCTTAGGACACTTTAAAAACAAGTTCTCAGACCCCATCGAACAAGGGCAGAGACACAGTGCAACCAAACGTGCTCTGGCTACAGCAAGGAAGACCGTCCGAGATGTGGTGAAGAAGATTTCTCCTTTTTTCTTGAGGAGAACTAAAGCCCTCATCAAAGACCAGCTGCCAAAAAAGAACGACAGGGTATGATGTGATATCACAAAGTTTGTCAGACTTTAAGGCTGGAATGTTTTCTCCCTTTTCTGGAAACTTCAGTATTATTTCTTACCGCTTGTCAAAAGTTTTATGATGTGTTTTGTTGTAGGTGGTGTTCTGTTCTCTGACGGACTTTCAGCAGTCTGTGTATCAGGCGGTGCTGGACTCTGATGATGTGACGTTACTGCTGAGATCTTCAGAGAAGTGTGACTGTCAAAGTGGGCGCACCCGCAGAAGCTGCTGCTACGATGTTAGTTTTAGTCACCAATGGGAGATTCTATTTCTCTCATACTTTTAACAATGTATGCTTGAACTGTTGTTCAACTTTGGCTATAATAATTTTCAGGTCTCTTGTAAATGAGTCCTCGTGGCTCAATGGAAATAACCTGTTTAAATAAAGGTTGAATGAGTAATGCCATTTCATTTAGCAGTAAAGCCTACTATATTCATTTGTTTCTCAGTAAAAAAAAAAAGGAAATAAATAAAGGTTTGGTTTTGCTTAAATCTCAAATATATCATCTATTTGGAAAAAAGAACAATTTGTATCAAATAATCCACATTTTCTCTCTTTGTTTTTAGAAAAACTCGGACGGTGTTCGAATTAAGGAGCTCTTCTTTAGTTACCTGACAATACTGAGGAAAGTTGCTAACCATGCAGCTCTCCTTCAGTCCAGTCCAGGCACCAGTGAGAAACAGGTATCCTATTTTTTTAATATTCTGTTAGATATTCTTATTGATTATTATCTCAAAGACATTTGTCTAAACTACCGTATTAATTCTTGTGCTTTCCCAGATTTGCCTATATGGCATTAGTATTAATCTCACTCCACTATCTTCCACTATAGGGTTGACTTCACATTTGAATGTTGGTTTTGAAAACGTTTAATGGTATGATCCCATCAGATTTATGTCTTCTTAGTTTGAACAACCAGATGATCTTAGATATTGTAAGATCTTATCACATCATTACAGTTGCAGCTCTGAAATCGTTTAACAATTGTCCTGTTATATATAAGAATAGTCTGATAATGAAAACTTTCAAGGCGTTATTAAAGGTCTATTTTTCAACTCGAGTAGAGCTCAACAACTTGATTTTTTTTAAAGTGCTAATTTCATTTTATTAAAATGGTTTTAAGTAATTTTTTCCCCCAGTAATATTTTCACTCTTTGTGTTATTAAGGTTACTTTAGAGTATTATTTTGCTTTTTAACGCAATTTTACAGTAACAACACTTGGGTGCACTTTATTTTTAGTTTATAAAGTGCTTTAATGAAAAGACATTGATTTAAAATCACTATTTTGTTTCTCGTAGGAAATGTATGTGCGTGCCGTTTGTACAAAGGTTTTTCAGAAGTTTCCAGAATTTGTGCAGAGGTGCAGAGACGAAGCATTTGAAGCTCTGTCTGATCCAATGTACAGTGGGAAAATGAAGGTACAGCTCTGATTTATGGCTCTTTTTGCGTATTCTTCACAGGACAATTCAGTGCTGAGTAACACTTCTTCATTTTAGGTGCTGCAGAAGCTGCTCAAATACCATCTACAAAAGAGAGATAAAGTGCTTATCTTTTCTTTTTCAACCAAGGTGAGAGTTGCACTTGTGTTAGTATTTTTTTATTATTTCACTTCTTTAGTATTTATTAAACAAATCTTAAAAAACTGTAGACATACACAGTAAAAAAAAAGCTTCTTCCATAAGAATTAAGTGAGCGGGGATCTGCAGCTGCTAGGTACTGCTGATCAAATGCACCAGATTAACTGTCATCAGTAACTGTTAGCACCTCTGTTAGAGCAGATGTTTAGCTAGTCTGAAGTATACAGATGTGTGTTAACACAATGCCAAGTAGAAAAAACATTAGCAATGACGCAACGTGCATATGAGTCTGGGAAGAGTCATAAGGCTATTTCCAAACAGTTTTGAGTCAATCATTTTACAGTGAGAAAAAAAACAATTCACAAGTGGGAAAAAACTCAAGACAATTGCCAGGTTTTTCAAAAGTTAGCCTCGTTGCAAGTTCACTGCATGGTCAGATTACTCAGTGCTCAGAAAAATGGCAAAACACGCAAAAGCTACATTTTAGTTAAGATGGATTCACGGATCCCATACAGAATAAAGTCTACAACCCTTGAGTAAACTGAAGCATCACATGAAGAGTGGGGTGAGTTCTTCCTCTGCAAATTGAGACACAGACAAGATGATAGAGAAGACGATGCTAACAGGGATTCTTCAAGCTGTGATTCATGAGGTGTACCGTATTTTTTGGACTATAAGGCGCATTAAGCAAAACAAAACAAATAAGTCAAACTTTATTCAACTCATTCACAACACCACATAAAATTGGTTCAAGGTCAGTAAGCGCAACCAGAATTAATACATAAGGCGCACCTGATTATAAGGCTTACTGTCAATTTTTCAGAAAATTTTAGGAATTTACTGTCAAGTGCGCCTTAATATTTGAAAAATATGGTACTTGGTTTTTAACACATTGATTCCATATTTAGGTTTTGTTAAAAAATATAATGACATGGTGGAATATGCCATGTATTCATTCTGCTTTATTTCATTTTAAGACTTGATTTTAATAGTTTGCCTCGAAATCCAAAACCTTATGAAAATGGTTCAATCATGAATTACAACTTTTTTTTGCCATATGTGTATCTCAGATCTGGTTGAACTGCTATTTTTGTTTTTATGTAGCATAGTAAGTCACTGCTCGCATTCTAAAAATATTTTTTTGGGGGGATTTGTCAGCTTAAATTTTAGTAGATGTGGATTTAAACTTTTACACCTCGTCACATCTGGTGAAGTTTAATTAAATCTGTTTCCTTCTTCAAAGACCAGCATTGTTCTAAACTATTTTTGCCATGAATTAGTTTAAAGAATTCAAATAGATGTAAAAAGCATGCTTTTTCACGATGCCCTGTGCATTTATAGGCAGCCTTTTGGGATTTATGCTGAGCAGTTCGACTTAAAATAATTAGTTTCTGCAAAGTCAAATGGTTGTCGTCACCTGATATCGTGCAATAATATTTGTGGCTGCTCTGAGGTCATATTTGTATGACCTATGTTTTGCTTTTTTGGGGTAAAGAGTTCATAAAGGGTCCAGCTTAAATTACCTTATAGAATATGTATAAATACAGTCTGAGAGCTGAATATAATCCTGTGAATATCGTTTTACGCAAGATATGTTTGTTTAGAGTCTTCATTTAAACTCAAACGCTTACGCTTTTAAAATGTGCATTCAAATCAATGGTTTAGATTGTCTGGGTCTGTTTGTTACATGAATATTTAATGTGCTTTCTGTTCTCATAAAATGGTTTTTATTTTCTTTCAGTTGTTGGATATTCTGGAGAGCTACTGCATGGCAGAGGGACTGGATTTTAGCCGGTTAGATGGATCCACCAAATCCAAGGAAAGACTCCAGATTGTTAAAGACTTCAACAGCTCTTCACACATCAACCTCTGCCTTGTTTCCACCATGTTAGTTGGAAATATTAAGAATTGCATGTATCTTGTTAAACAGCAGATTTTTATTTTTTATTTTTTAACTTTTGCTTAAAAAATATATTTAAAAAAATCAAGCTCTTTTATGCATACTAAAATTGGTTCCTTGGTAAAATGTTAAATTTTTCAGAATCTGTTTATTTTAAACATATAAAAATGTTTCTTCCATCAGGGCAGGCGGTCTTGGTCTTAACTTTGTAGGTGCTAATGTAGTGGTGCTGTTTGACCCCACCTGGAATCCAGCCAGTGATCTTCAGGCTATTGACAGGTGCGTGACGTCTCAGATTTGGGTTTTATACATTAAATATTAATCTCTTCTTGCTTCACCTCAAACCAAGACATTGGCGTTTTTGTATTGTCGCACCACTTACGGTCTTTTTGTGTGTTTGTGTCCTTCCAGGGCGTATCGTATTGGCCAGTGCAGGGATGTGACTGTCCTTCGTCTGATCTCACTGGGAACTGTGGAGGAAGTCATCTACCTCAGACAAGTTTACAAACAGGTACCAGTCAGTTATGACCAATAATAAATGATTTATTGTAGTTTATTAGTTTATTTGAAAATTACATCACTCATAAATAAGTAAAACAACAAATGTGCAAGAATTAGCTGAAACGTCTACTTCTCTAACAGACTACACCATTATTACGGTAAAATTAGGTTAACCAAAATTACTCAGCTCAAAGTATCCAAAATGACCCAAAATAAATGTTTAAGTACACAGCCTCTTCTGCAATAGAATACAGTAAAATAACTGTTATAGATGAAACCAGTGCAATATTTTTAGACAGTAATTTATATTTGACTAAAAATAATATGAAGGAAATTCTTTTTGTTTTTTTTTGTTCTCATTCAGCAACTGCAGTGTACGGTTGTTGGAAAGGAGAGTGCTCGGCGGTATTTCGAGGCTGTACAGGGGAACGGTGTCTACAAAGGGGAACTGTTTGGTGTCAAAAACCTGTTCAGGCTGCAGACTGATGGGACGTGTCTGACCCGCAGGATTCTGGAGGTTAGACATCCATCTAGTCTTATATGTTATTTAGGATGTGCTCGATTGCCTCATACTGGTTTGACTCATCCAGAATCACATTACAATGAGTTTTACAAATAAAAACAAAATACTTAAACCCTTAACCAACAATGAATTAATAAAAACATTTTCCTCTGAAAATTGAACAAAGACGACTGAAATCAAGAGGAAAAGCAGCCAATGGAATCCTATAAAAACAAATAATAAACAAATAAATTAAAATATATATATACTATATATATATTTACTAAAACATATACATTTAAAAATACATTTACACAGTAAATCTGTCTAATATTTTTGTGTTAAGCTTTGTAAAAATAGAACATGAAGCAAAGTTTTTATTGCTGATTCTTGTAATTTTAAATGGTCGTTGTCCCTTGAAGTATGGTTTACTAAACGTCTGTTTTATTTTGCCAGCGAGAAGGACAAGTAGAGGCTGGTGTGGTGACAATGACAACACACAGAGGCAACAAGGAGGAGGAAGAGACGGATGGAGCTGGCGTGAGTAGATCTGCCGTTCTCAGAGACATGGGACATCGGTCTTTCATCTTTCTCGACCCTTTGCTGTCTCCTCTCCCAAGTGGCCCACTCATGCTCCTATTCCCATGTGAAAGAGGGAATACCTCAAACAGCCATCTTTTTATCTGTCACTCAAACCAACCCACGCAATCTCATTTTAGCAGACCACATCTCAAGTTTCAGTGGTGGAAAAAAGGCAAACTTCTAGGCCACATAATATTTTGTACTTAAAAAATCTAAAGATTAGGCTCAGTAGATTCTACGTAATTATCACTTGACAGCCTTGGTTTGGAAAGAACGCCATCATCACTGTTTTGTGTGTCATGGTGGTGCTGAACATTGAGGTTCTGTTTGTCTCCCGTTCTTTCTGATCCTGTTTAAAACAGCTGGATATAATTATTTTGCTTGACCTAATGAAAGGAGCGGACCACACTAAAGCCTATCTTCTACTTTTCCTGTTATTTTGTTTTCTGCCTATTACATCATAGTAGAGGGCTCATGTCACATTGATGGTTATTATGATTTGTTGTTGGAAAACATCTGTTTCACATTGCCCGTTGAAATCTCTTATGGACCAGCCCTCTGAAAGATGGCATAAGAAAGGGAAATGAAGAATTTATAGGCATTTTGTTGCTAAACCTCAGATACAGTGTAAATGCAGTTTATTTGTTAACAATTTTCACATTGGTGTCTTTTCCTTGGACTACTTGTACCATATAGTTTTCTTTTTATTAGTCTGTCTTTGCTTGTCTTGAGCTTAATTTCTATTTTTCTTTTTTTATATATTAGGAATCTGGAGATCCGCTTGCAGATGATAATCTCTTAGACGATGAAGCAGCCAAGATGACTAGAGAAGAATCAGGTGTTCTGGACTTCAGCAGTGGGAGTGAAACAAATGATGAGGAAGTGCAGGGGATGAAGAGAAACCAGAATGGAGATGGTGATAACAAGAGTGGAAAAACTCGCACTGGTTCCGGTCCAATGAGTCTCCTGCAGCATGGCTTTTCCAGACATCTCGAAAAGGTCAAAGAAAAACAAGAGTTGGATGAAGAGGACAGTAGCTCTTGTTCCAAAGAAAGCTCTTTTGAAGAAGATGCTGAGGGCCAAAACATAAAGGATGCCTCTTCTACAATTGGAAAGACGACCAGTGGAGGAACTGGAGTTGTCTGCCTTTCCAAATCTGAAACAAAACCCCCGGACAAATCCACTGGCTCAGACAGAAAGCAGGAAAATAATGCAAACAAGATTTCATCGTTAAAAGTGAAGGATTACACTACAAGGCGGAGACAGTGCCAGAAACGATGGATGAGTAAACAAACCGCACTGGATGATGATGAGAGCGATGAAAATTCCTCACCAGAAAACAAGACAGCTAATAAGCACAAATCTACTTTTCCCAAAGTACACCACTTTTACGCTTACTCAGACGAATCTGAGGATTTAGACGTAGAAGAAAAGACGTGCTCTAAAAAGGATTTAAATGTATATAATGGAGGAGATGAAGAAAGAAGGGGAAAGTTGTATCACAACAAAAGAAGACACAGTGCCAGTGTAAGAGACAAGACAAGATTCAGATACACAGAAGACATCGGAACATTCACATCTTCAGAGGATGAACATCTTATGGGGAGACGAGCTAAAATACCAAAAACTGTTTCATTTACAAATCTGAAAAGTCAGAACATTCCATCATCTAAAGAAAAGAAGCAGAGCATCGACAGCGTGCTAGGTTAGAGTTAAAACTTTATTTATGTAAAAAGTTTAAAGATTGTAACTCCAACGTTGAAATGATTGTTTTTGTTTAAAGGGGGTGTACAGGAGGTGGTGTATACACACTCTAACCAGCATGTGGTGGGTGGGAGCAAAGCCGAGGAGCTGATCAGTAGAGCTGCTGTACGAGACGTGTTTGAACGTAAAATGTACTCGCAACTTCCGGCCAATAATCTACTGGGTACCCAGGAGGTATGTACAACAAACGCAATTTTCCCCAAAGAACGTTCTTATCAACTATAATAAACACAATGTCCCTTATGTTACTGACAAAAAAGGAGAACCTAAAATTAAAAACGTATTTATTCCCGTTTTTCTGTGGCGTCCACGTGGTGGTTTTGAATGAGCAGAGAAGAAGAGCTCCAGTATATTGCAAAGTTTTAAAAGATGTTTGTAGAAACTAATCCCTTTCGAAATGTGTGACCTGTGCTGGTAAAATGAGTCAGGATGAGCGCAGGCTGCAGTGAAGAAAAAAATTAATATATAATTTTGCCGTAACTGAAATTAACGTAAAAATGAGCCCATAAAGACACCGTCCCAGCAACTAAAATATCCTATACAGTAATCTTCTCAAGTTCAAGTTTCTTTACTGTCATTCATATCACATGTGGTACATGAGGTGGAACGAAATTATGTACTGTAGTCCCTCGTTTATCACAGGGGATCTGTACCCTGAAGCCCCACGATAAGTGAAAAACCACAAAGTAGGAATAGTAGTACAAGT